CCTTGACTTTGCATGAATTAATTCTACTTCAGCAATTGTTGAAATCGCATGCTATCACTGTTGTCTACAATATTTCATGCTCCTGGCTGCAATGACATACCTTTTACTTTGTACACTTTTTTGGAATCAGTAACTGACTGGATTTTAACATGTGTTCTCAAATTAGCATTAAAAACAGCAATTTTCCATTTTGACCTTTCATTATTAAGAGCTCTTTATTAGCAATAGCACTTATCATAACCCCGTTACCGAACAATCTGAGTATGCTGTTATTAGCAGTATTTTTTATTAAAATGCTTTTGATATCTCTGAATGTTTTAGTTTTGCAATGTACACAAGCTCTTTTAAACTTATTTAAAATTATTTGTGCACAGATCCTTTGAAACAGAACATAAATCTTTTTAAATGTTTCACTGGTTTGATTTTTTCCCCCCCCACAACTTTAGATAATATTTTATCAATAATATAATCCTTACACCATCTGGACCAGCACTATAGCATCACTAAATTGCATAAACTAGCCTGTACCAGCATGGAATTCACGCTGGTTTATGCTGGATTTTTCAGCAAGGAAGAAATCGAAATTACAATTTATGATCAAAAATTAAAATATACAATTTACAAGCCTTATCCAAAACACAATGACCAAAACAAATGTAATTTTGACAGTAGAAATTCTCACAGATTAAACACTGATTTGTTTGTAAATGAGCACACAGTATTTTACAGCTTTACATATATTAAAAACCCATTAAGGTTTAGAGTATCACTCATATATGTGTTATGTGCAACAGCAGCTGAGTATGGAGTCAAAACATGGCCACATATACTTGCAAAGGAATTGAAGTTTTGCAACAAAAATGAAACTACTGAGAAAACATAAATTAGCTTTTTGCTAACAAAAATAAAGAATTGCAAAATATAAATGAAACCATGCAAAAGCAATGATGTTGCAATACATATTTTCCATGGCCATATTGACTAATTTATTTTCAACGCTGCTTTTATTTTCGTTTCAATCAAGAGTGAGCTTGCGATACTGACATATTATCACATTCCCACAAATTAATATATCGTGGCCATGACAAAACTAAACCAAAAACACTAAAGCTTCAGTTTTTGAATCTTACAGTGTGATTATTACGTTTTGAATATGGATATTTTTCTTACAAAAACGTATGGTTGAGGGTGAGTAAAAATGTTTCTAATTTTCATTTTTGGGTGAACTATCCCTTTAACTTAAACAAAGGCTGCTGATACACATATAGTTAATAAAACAAAACCATGCATGTTTTAATGCTAGTGAATAATAGGAAACGATCCACCCACATGCCTCTGCTCAATGATGGTGCCTTGATCAGCTGTGATCTGAGTCTCGGGCCAATAACATAACTTCCAGGGAGGCATGCCCAGGCCTGTTGTACACGCCCCAGTCCCTTGATTCCACCCCCATGTCAAAACAATGCCAGAAAGTGAGACGCGCAGAAACGTGAAGCGCAAAGGGATCAAACGGTATCGCAAGCTCACACTTGACTGAAACGAAAAAAGGCAATTTTGCAAATAAATTAGTAGATATGGCCATGCAAAAATAATTGCTTTTGCTCTGTTTAATTTTCTTTTGCAATTATTTATTTTTGTATGCAAAAATCTTATTTATGTTGTCACAATACTTTCAATGTTTTTGCAAAACTTTATTTTCTTTGCAAGTATATGTGGCCCTGTTTTGATTGCAAAATCACATCTCTGCAAAACTAGTATGCAATAGTAACATTACAGTGAAAGTAATCCTAGAACTGCATTACAGCAATATTTACAAACAGCTGCAGTATGCAAAAGACAAGACTATAAGCATCAAACTGTGTGCTTAATGCATCATGACAGACTTACATTCCAGAGTGAAGTGCAGCTTTAATGGGACACTATAGGCCTTGAGTCCACAGATTGACAGAGACTGTATGTGTTGAATATGGTATTTTATACTTTATTGGGAAAAATTTATAATTTGTGGAAAGATGAGTGACCTTTGTGCTGTTTGTTTGTGCGGATCAGTATTGCATCTGGACAGATGGGCTGTCTGCGCTCTTGGGGAAGGAGTTGGGAAGCGATCTCACACGAAGTGACCTTGACACATTAATGAGCATGGAAATGAAGCTCCGCCTCCTCGATCTGGAGAATATCGCCATCCCTGAGGCTCCGCCCCCTGTGCCCAAAGAGCCCAGCACTTACAACTTCACCTACAACTATGGATGAGATGTCTGTCCGTTCAACCAGAGCTTGTGTTTTCTGTGTCTTGCACTCTTCAGAGGTGAAGTGTGTCATTTGTCTGTCACTAAGATACTTTCCTGCTGGTTTCACGTTCAGAGTCACATTGGTAGTTTGACTTGCTGAAGAGTGAAACCCTGTGATGCTTGTTTCAGCCTCCCAACACGAAAACTTCTGACATGACCAGTAGAGTTCAAGATGGACGAAAGTGTAGAAATGACACAGTTCACCTCTATACTAGTGTATGTGCCTGAACATGAACTAGTCTTGGTTACGAGAGTATTTTTTCAGTCCTTTTTCAAATGTTTGTAAGTCAGAAAAACAAATGGTTCTTCTGTCTTCAAGTATTTGATTTTAAATGAGAAAAGCAGAAACAGCATCTTAAACATCATTCTGTGTTTAGATATTGTAAAGCATCTACTCCCATGTGTGATGTGATGTTAAATGCTTATATGAGTAACTCAACTGAACAGTTAGTAACTTTGTACACCCCACAGATCTGTCTGCAGATAACTAATATTTACTGACGTTTGCTTTTGTCAATAGAAATATATTTTTGTACTTGATGTGAAAGACACTATATGGTCTGCATGAAACGGTGGAAAGCAAGCGAGTGCAAGAATATGGAAACGTTTTGTGACTCGTAGACTGAACAGGATGAAGGCCTGCAACTGCAATATAAAAAATCCATTCAAAAGTCTTGTAGCAACTATATGTGAAAATAGCCATACGAGTTCATAGATTTAGACACTTATTTGGTGATTTCTTTGTTACAGTACTCAAACATGACTGCTCAGTCCGTTTAGCTGGAAATATTTACACGTTTATCTTCTGTCTGTGCGTTCATATTTGCTTGCCATAATGTAAGGTTATTCTGTGTGAAAACAGGACGAACCCATAGATGGATTGCTGACAGAGGTGTGATGTTTTTCAGATTTGCTTCATGCTACAGCTGGTAGTTTCTGAACGTTTTAGTGGGCAGGTATCAGTTTCGGGGTTGAAATGTTGTACACACTATAAATATATAGTGCCTTCAGAAGGTATCGATTCCCTTTTTATTTCTCATTGCTTTAAAGGTCATTTTAATTAAGTTTTTATTTTTTATATTTTTTTTTGGGGGGGGGGGGGGGTTGATTTGATTTTATTGAAGGAAGAAAAAATATTTCATCATTAAAATTTGAAGGCCACTGTATATAAACTATATATTGTACTGCTTTATCACAGTGATACAATGGATTTGTGTGCAATAATAAAATGTGTTGAAGTCATAGCTTGATATTTTTCATCCATTTGATTAATAATTTTAGCTGTGGATTTAATTTAAATGCAGTTGCATACAAACTATGTATGGAAATGTAAAAAAAAACACTCAAAAGCAATTAATGTATAAATGTTGACTTGAAATAAAAATGAAGATTAATATGTGGTGCACAATTACTGCTAACCAGTGATGGCTTAGCTAATGAAGCCATATAATGGACACTTTGGGCAGATGAACTGTCATTGGTTTGTGATGAAGGTTATGAATAAGTCAGATGACTTCCATTTCATATGTTATCCAAAACCAGTTTACAAGAACTTTTGTCTGGTACCCAAAACTGCATTAACTAAAGTCCATTACCATCCTGAGACAACAGAAAACCATGAAATTGCTATAGTCCCTCTTATAGCACGCATAGAAAGAGCAAGAGAAAAAATAAAATGCGCAAATTATTAAATTAAATGAAACCTTTATTAATTACCGTATTGACCCGAATATAAGACAATGTTTTTTTTTCTTGGAAATACATCTCAAAAAA